TCACTGGCTGTAGAAGTTGTCTTGCTGGTTGGAGTGTGTCCCGAAGCTGACCTGGGCCAGCCTGAGACCTCACGTACAAATACAACTGGCGAGTTCGTCAGACCCTCTTTGTCTGCTTGTGCATTGCATGCAGTGGCACAGGCCAAATTATCAGCTTGCGCGAGAAGAGGCTGTTCGTAGCGCTACAGAATTCCTTCATGTCTGAGAGTGCTGGACTCTAGTACTAGTAGATGCCATGACTTGTCTTTTCTGAAGCTGCCTCTGACCTGTGCCTGTGGGCTCCGAGTGCGGTGAAGTTAGTAAGTTAGTTTACTCTACCGCGCAATCGTGTACACTAAGTGCACTACTGTGCGACCAGTCAACCTCATTCCGATTTAAGTTCACTCTCAACAGACTCAGTAGTCAGTAGTGTTTTTGCCTTGGTCTAGATGTTAGTATGGAAAACGTCAGTAGCGAAGCAAGGGATACCATGGAGGCGAGGCCGCGTGCTAGGTCACGTTCACACACGAGTGTATCGCGCCAGGATCACTCCTTGTCCCCGCGTCCATTGCCTGCAACACTCACAGCACCAACAATGGTGCGACCGTCAACAGTGACGGGCGTGGACAAACAGCGGCATGCTGTACCAACCGCCCCACATTACCAAGGTGAGACAAAGACAAGACCTGGTATCAAACGTCTGTCATTGCTCAGTATTATCAGATAAGCGTTACTCCGGTCTAATTGAGCAAGCTGTACTCTCGCGTGCTGAGAGGTCGGCTCACATCCCTGGCCTGTGTGTCGACTTCTTACCCTTTAGGCTTTATTAAAATTAATGTCTCACCCCCCAAGACGACGTAAATATGTACATGTACATGTCGAGTCCAGCCATACTGGCCGATATTTAACCTAAAGCAAACGTTATAATTGCGATGCCAACCTGTCCCTTTCCAAGGAGAGGTTTTCAATGTTCAAGACATTCGTCAACCTTACGCCAAGTTACGGGCGACGAAAGCGAAGAGGTTCCTCAGCAGAAGCCATACATTCTTTTGTATCATCATAAACCCTGGAGCAATCCTGAAAATCTATCGTGGTAAGGAGAGAGCTTGAAAGTTGAGAGCCCTTGCGTGTACGACTCCTGACTGTGCAGGCGGGCGCTAGTCGGATGATCACATTCACAGGTCTACTGGTTCATGCACGTTCGGTAGCCGTAGGTCTTCGTGTACTGATGACTGATGTAATGATTGTGACTCAGCGGAAACTATCTCACGGGGAACTAACGTCGCGGGTGTACCGCGGTGCGGGCGATGATAAAGACTTCCTGGCCGAAATAACCCCTTTCGAAATGATCAACGAGTCTACGACTCTAGACCTCTGTATCTACAAAAACCTCATGGCTCACCCCGGACCAGTGGACGGGGCTGTTGACAGAGGTGTTCGTCGCGTGCTGGAAACAGCTCATCGCTGTCAGTCAGTCGGTACATGCATCCCTTTTGTGATTCGGGGCTGGGGAAGCACTCACAAATAATTTAACACTTCACGAAAAAATACTGTGTGTCGTACTATTGAGTGGATAGTTGTGCTGTTTTGCAGGTTTGCAGAGCGGATTGTTCGACCTGATGATCATGTGCACTAACAGACTGCAGTCATGCGTCAGTCAAGACAGTGTCAGTCAGGTGGCAGGAAACGTCAGCTGTAACATTTTGACGATAGCACCTAATAATAGGACTGATTGCCTGCCAGAAATATCCCGTAAAACAGCCAAAAATCCACACCCTCTCCCAACGGGTTTTAGCCAGTGGCATCTACCGGTAGGTTGTTTGGGTTCATCATGCAATTAAATTCCCACTCTTCCTGTCCGGACACTGTCAAAGGGCCTAAAGAGCATTGAAGAAATTCTCGATTGCGCACTGCTGGGCTGGTGCCTGCTCGTCTCTCTCCCGGCAGCTGGTGAAATATAGAAGAATTCATAATCTTGAAAAGACAGGGAAAAAGGAAAGAAAAGAGGTCAAAGTTTGCACCTTTCCCTCAAACGAATGAGTAGGTTAAAAAATACAACGCATTTCTGGTCGTAGAGAGACACTATACGTGAGGCTGATGAGGAGGCAATGGTTGTATCAGCTGGCCGATTCCGGTCGCGGAGCATGACTGTATCGCACGTAGAGCGTGGAAATGATATTGTACGCATGCACGCAAGCTTTGTTCAGTCCTGTAGTTTTCACTCCACAGCCTAGCCTCCAATATTATTGTGTGCGAGGTCTGTACTGACTGTTTGTTATGGAACCCAGTTGTGTGGTTGGTTAGTTGGATAGGTTTATATTTTACTTCGCACGTTCAAACGGGGATGACGACCCAATAAAAGAATGGTGGCGAAAACTTAGCCTAGAAGTGGCTATGGAAGCACATGGTAAACACGTATGTGAAGCCAGTGCTGTTGTACAACTGTGCGACATGAGGCCTCACAGATGCCATAACCGGAGGGATTGACACCTTTCATCGGAGGCATCTGAGAGCAATGGCTGATCCCAAACATAATTAGGAACAAGCACCTGTATGACATCTGCAACTCAGCACCGATTTCGCTTGATATTGACAAACGACTTTGGGAGTTCCTCCGTCACGTACTGGGAATGCAGAAGAGCTTTCCCCCAGAGCGTGTGTTAGAGGTTTCAGCCACAGCGAGCCTGCGCGGTCGACTGGGCCGACCCAGGACTAACGTTAGTCTTCTCTCAGCTCTTTCCCAGAGCTGCCTAGCCCAACTCGGCATTGGCCTGGGTACGCTCATAGGCCTTAATCAGCTGCGGCAGTTGGCAGGGGATACGTCGCGGTGGACTGGCACCCCACGGCACTCATCTTCCTCTGCCGAGCCGCGGCCTTGACTTATTCCCTGCAGGGTGAACATCAATATTGAACAGTCTACCGTCTTTCTAACATTGCCACTCGCACTTGACGATAGAAGCAGCTTTCCATATGGGCAGGTACATTGACCCATGGTGTGCGTTTGTTTGTTTTTGTGAATCCATCCCAGAAGAAAATGCTGCTTTTTAAACATTGTGTAATTACTCAGCCTTATTTATTATTATTATTATTATTCCACAATCACGATGACATAGTGCCAATAAGCATGTGATGCGGGCGATTTTAACCAGCCATGGTGGGGACAACTGAGAAAAAGAAGGAGAAAAAAAGAGAAAAAAAAGAAGAAAAAAAGAAGTACTATAGGAACCTGGAGAGAGCAGTATGAAGATTAGGCTAGCAATGGAAAACAACGAATCAATTCAATTCGACTTAGGCGCGGGCAGAATGGAACAAAATGCAGCGAAGGTGTCACGAGACTTTACCTCCTGCGGAAGCCGAGACCAATGAGAATAGGACTTGAACAGAGGGGATTTTAAAAGGATCGATGATCTCGAAAGTGGTTTGCAATAATAATAATAATTTATAGAAAGGAAAAAGGACCAAGGAACTACAAGTTACGCTATAATGTCCACTAACACCACCAGTTGTTAAAAAAATCAGCTCATGCGATACCATTGCACGACACTGACCGACGGTACTAACGTTCTGCAACTAACTGGCTAACAGCTCTAGCCCATTTTGGATAGATGGATGGACATGGATGGATGGACAATAGCATAACTTGTAGTTCCTTGGTCCTTGTTCCTTTCTATACATTTATCCTTGGCTCTCCATCCGAGTCCAATAATTAAAAAAATTCACGGTTCGCGTGAGACTCGGCCAAAGGCCCAGTTTTCCGCATCTGCAAGAACGCCAACACCCTCTTGGACCAAGGCGCACATGTAGCTTCTAAGGTGGGAGGTGAGTAGATCAGACCCACCACAAAGTGGTCAAAGACCGAAAATCCCATTCACTGCATCCATGTTTCCCTCGTGCCAGGCCACGAGTTCCCGATTAACTGTGGGTCGCAGCACGGCTGGAAAAACCCTTCCGCTTCCAAGCAGGACTTGAACCTGGTACCCTCTGACAGCTCTGTTTTTCAATCATGGTCTTAGATCATCCCACTATGTCTCCCTGCCAATGACAAAATAAATTGGGAAGTCTGAAGAAAATGTTGAACGGTCTCTGCTGGGATGACGACTACACCGTAGCTCAGTGGTTAAAGCATCGCTAGCTACAAGCGAGGGTCCCTGGTTCGAGTCCTGGTGGTGACAGACAATTCTTTCTTCAGACTTTTCCCGTTTGTGTATTTCCCTCGAACTAGGGAAAATAATAATAATTTAGACAAACGACGAGGAGACAACAGTCCACCTATAATAGGCAACGAGATAGTATACAGTCAGATAGTGCGGCAACAAGGCACAACACTGACATTGATATTGAGACATTCGACGACCTGACACCTTGCTCCAACACATCCACCAAGAGCAAACCAACAACCTTCCAACTTGGGTGGCTGAGGTGCGGAAAGTGATAGTTCCAATGAGGAAAAGGGATGCGCAACGAAGATGTGCACGAGCTATGTCCCTGGGCAACAGAGAGCGTCGAACGTTGCAGGATGACGATGACGAGACTAGCAAGACGAATGGGCAAACTGGTCTAACTACAACTCGAAAACGCAAGGCAACTCAATATCACCGTCAGTCAATAAGTAAGAAAAAGGGACTAAAAGTTACGAGTTTTGGCCAACAGTCCACCAAGGTAACGGTAGTGCGACAACAAGGCACAAAACTGACAGGGATATGGAGACAGTCAACGACCTGACACCTAGCTCCAACCCATTTTCGAAGCCCAAGCCAACAACCCTCTAACTTGGAATTGTAAATTAGTCATAAAAAAAGATTCGCGGTTCGCGTGAGACTCGGCTGGAAACCGAATTTTCCGCATCCGCTGGGACGCGACCACCCTCAAAGATCAAGGCTCTGATGCAGCTCCTACAGCGGTCAGAACTCGTAACGTATGGTTATGGGTCCTTTCTTCTTACTTGAAAAATTTGTGAAATTACAGTATTTTAGAGCCAGTACTGTGTATGAAGAAAATGTCTTCACGTTGACCTACTGCAGGTGCCGCCGCACGCCCGTTGCCAGCCCTGCCACCTTCTCCTCCACCTCAACCGCCACCGCCACCACCAACCACACAGCAATCGGAGGAACGCAGCACCTCCGAGAGCGTGAAGAGGAGCCTTGAGCGGATCACCAGCAAGCTGCTGCTGCTGGCGGAGACTCATCCCGGTGTGTTCATGACCAGACATTCACTGGCACCCTTTCGTCACCTCTTGGTACTGCTAGGCGACAGCTGTGAGGATGCTGAGGTCGTACTAGGCAACAATGTCACTCGCTTCACGGGACCAAATGCAGGACAGAACCTGAAATGCATCATACAGCCAGTCCTGCTGAGATGGAAGAACTCCCACCACAGGACCTTGTCCACCATGGACCCATATGAAGAAATCATGGCATATCTGGATAACTGCCAACTGGGGGAAGTAATGTCCGAGCTTCAAAATGGTAAGGCTATTTGTAAAACGGGTGTGATCGTGTTTGCATGTGATTGCGCACGTGTGTGTACATAATTGTGTTTGTGTGTATGTGTATTTCGAAGTATATTAATTATATGTACGCACACGAACAAAACCAGATAGTGTAGCTACCATTGCTGATATGTGCACCTTAGTGGCAATAGTAATTGGCAAAAAAACATCGCCATCCCCTAGGGCAAAAGACGGCAGCTACCACAGGCAATTATCCAACGTCATATGTGCAGCTTACCGTTAATGGTGGATTGATGGGATACATGTGCATGTACAGTAAAACCTGTAACTGAAGACCACCGTGACTAGCGACCAGCCTGGTACTACAGACCACCGTGACTAGCGACCAGCCTGGTACTACAGACCACCGTGACTAGCGACCAGCCTGGTACTACAGACCACTTTGCCAGGCACGGACGGTCTCACATCATGATTGTGCGTTGCAAATCTCTAACTAAAGACCACCTGCCGCTAAAGACCGCGTCCTCTGGCCCCAAAGGGTGGTCGTTAGTCACAGGTTTACTGTACATGTAAGTCCGAAGACGTCCGGACCAGGGATTGCTGGCGCGAGTGTGAACAGCTCGTTCGGACACCTTGTGCCTTGGCCCAAGTTCCCTGTTCAATGTGGGAAACAGAGATACTGGAAAAAGGCGCTCCCAGTCAGACCTTGGACCAGGGTCTTGTTGTGTCTACGATGCCCCACTCATGTTTTGGTCTTAGACCAATCCACTATGCCGGGCCTGGTCTTCATCCGTAGGCACACACACACACACACACACACACACACACACACACACACACACACACACACACACACACACACACACACACACACACACACACACACACACACACACACACACACACACACACACACACACACACACACACACACACACACATACACACACACACACACACACACACACACATACACACACACATACACACACACATACACACACACACACACACACACACACACACACACATACATGCACACCCAAAAATATACACACATAAATACACAAACACACGCACACACACATCTAAAACAAACAAACACGAATTTCTCTTGCTGTGCACGCGCGGCCGTGTTACATGTTTTGTGATTTCAGGCAAGCTGGTCCTTTCTTCTCAGCACGTACCCGTCCCCTACTACGAGAGCTCCAGCGTCATCAGACAAGAACTCCATACTGAACACCAGATCAATGATGAGCAGCAGGACTCCGGCTATGGGTGTGGAACAGTATCAGCGTTGAAGGAGACCAGTAGGGGCAAACCAGAACCAACATACACGTAATACGAAATGACCGATGTGTTCCGTGAACAAATACGCTCATGGCGTCCCTGCCATGTTGCGAGCTATATCGCCACCCGCATCATTCTACCTTATAACCAGAGAACACTTCTAGCGATACCTCTGCCTTTGGCAGGGAAAGGATTTTTCACTCTCTTAGTTTCTAGTCCAGGGCAGACCGTTTAGCAATGCCACGGAATGTTAATCATGTTGTCGAAGTGGACGGAGAAAACTTGAGAGTATGCATGTCTGCGTGTGATATTGAAAAGTTACTAGTGCCGCTGTTGAGACTTTTATGTATATGCGGATACATTTAACTGTTTGTTTCGCTAATGGTCCTGTTCACAATACCTGCGTATTCCATTCTCTCAGTAAACCCATATGTCGCTTCTTACCATATATTTTTATCCTGCAAGCTTGCTGTATCTGGTGCACAGCACGACTCAAGCTGACCATATTGTCAACCAAGCCTTCATGATCCACAGTTTTCATTCACTGATTTCCCTATGTACATTTTATTACCGCGTTCATGCTAAGAGATGCTGAATAATTCTGTACCTCGTCAGACAGCACTACCTAGTATTGCTCCCCCGCCGGAGGACAACAACATGAACTAGGAAGTGGCGACTTTGGCAATAAGAACTTACTGTAGATGGCTGTGTTCACAACAGTAGATCTCGCGCCTCTAGGCGACCGTCAGTGCTTGTTTTCAACACTCCATGTGCAACAGCGACTCACGCTGTTGCCTGGGGCTCAAGAGGTGTTTCTTGCGCTATAAACGGACCGTCACTGGAAGTAGTTGGCCCTAGTGATGTTTGGAATGGAACAGCACTAATGCAGTGCGCCAAATTTCACCCCTGTATGTTTACACCGTCCAGCATTAAAAAACAAGCAAGGAAATGAAAAGAGAGCCTAAAAGTTTACTGTGAACTATCACAACTCAACACTTAATGGAAACAAGAACTGCGATTTCGATCCTGAAACAACAAGTGGAGGGAGTGTCAAAGACAAGAAAATTAGCAAAACAGCACCAAACTTACCCATGCGCTTGGTTAGAAGCCCAAGGCCGCAAAGGGGGGGCACTATTCAAGAGAGTGTTATAATCGCGCGAGTTAGGCTCCGGCGGACTATGTTCGCGAAATCATGGAATTATGCTTTCATGGATGCTCTGCATTATGCTCGCAAAATCCTCATATTATGCTTTGGCATTCGGGGATTCTTATTCAAGATGTTGTACTGATCGAACCTCAAAGTACGGGAAGTTGTGCGTTTCTTCGTCCCTGCAAGTGGCCATATAAGTACAGCAGAATTGAGAAGTAGATGGAGATCGCAATACCATGGTGTCCGTGCATGCTAGAGACAAACATAGAAAATAGAAAAATAATACTGGTTCTATTCATTAGTTGACATCTTCTGGAAAAGATTTTTTCATTGCCAAATTAGTTTGAGGTACCTTCCGAAATACTTGATAACGGCTGATTCACTCGTATTTTCTGCTAATTTTTAATTAATGTTTTATTTTATTTCGCCATCCAATGGCAGAAGCCAATGCAAAGGAGGGGGCGTTAGCCAGCCATGATATACATGTATGTACTTTATAAAAACAAACCAATAGGAGGACAGAGAAAGTGTTTTTACTCCGAGTCGGAGTAAAAACAATAAAAAAAACACTCTCTCTGTCCTCCTATTGTTTGAACCAGCTCTACCACTCGATATTGAGCACTCTCCTGGACAGCCTGGAACCTCTCTGTTTTGTATGTACTTTATAAGTGTGAGAAAGAACTTTGAAGGAGACGAGTTCGAGCACACTGCAATGTACTGGCATGATTTCTAGTATAGCTACTTTTCCACTGAAAACAATATCTGAATGACCCCCGAACCCTTTACCATGCAGACCACTAACACTGATGAGGTGCATAGTGCACAATTATGTAGCCTACATACTAGAACTGTAGTACAGTCATATAGTTATGTTCCTACCTCCGAAAGGATGCCAAACTATGCTCCAAACTTTCAACCACCAAATTAAGCCAATAATTATGCCGGCATAATCCGCCGGTGCGTACCTCCGAAACCTTTACCATGCAGACCACTAACACTGATGAGGTGCATAGTGCACAATTGTGTAGCCTCAATCATGTACTTGTACTTGAAGCAGTTATGCTCCTACCTCCGAAAGGATGCCAAATTATGCTCCAAACTTTCAACCACCGAATAGGGCTTGAAAGTGATGACGTCAAAAACGGCCTGGGAGTAGTACGTTGACATCAGATTTCTATTTTGGATCCACTAAGGTGTGACTTTGCTATTGCCTCAGTATGTGGGTGCATAGCAACCCACTCATGTCGTGTGCAGGAGCGACTTTTACTTCCCCACCAGTTGTCATCCCGCCCCCACTAGCCAAATCAGTCAGTTTCACTGGCTACATCACCTTGCTGTGAGTAAGACCGCTTGAAATGTTCTTGGATCCATACAAAAACTGGATCCAGGTGGATCCAGTTTTTGAATTTTTCAAATTGTTGCTATGCGATTGCTATGCTGTGACGTAGCACTTTCAAGCCCCATTATGCCGGCATACTTGTAACGTGTATAACTGGTTCCGAATCACAGATGGCTCCCAGACAAGATGCTCTGTTGCCCTCCCCTTGGCTAAAACGTCCTCCCTTGTATGCTCTCCACTCTTTGTTGCTTACTCTGCTTGGCTTGCGCTGCCCGCTACTACGCGCAATGCCAGTACCCTGGACGCATTTAAATCTGCTCACTAGATTCACCATCACCTGTCCCTCCCATGCTTCTCCGTCTTGACCATTACTTTTCTTCTTTTATTCACCATGGTTGGTTAACACCCACATCTCCCGTACTGGCTGATTTTCTTCTCATGCCATGAGGTGTTGTCTATAATAATAATAATAATAATAATAATCCGTAGGAGCCTAGCGTGAGTACGGTAACTACAGTGTACATGTACATGACTGTCAGGGAGTCGTAAAATACCGGTATTTTACGACTCCCTGATGACTGTACTAATCATGACATACAGTGTTGGCCAAATGTTTGGGCCTACCCAAGAGAAAACAGGTTTCTAGAGAGAATCTTTGTATAGTGCACGAAAAAAACTACTGAAGTTGGCTATCTACCGAAGAGATCATACTCTGATCCATCTTTCGAAGGCTAGATACCGTAAAGTACCGTTGATCCGCCCCCTCTCTAATTCCCGCCCCCTGTCGATTTTCTCCTTGTGAAGCGACTTCGGCGTATACAACGAAATACGATGTTGAACCGACGCATGCACTGCTGTACACAATACTTGCCAATCCAGGATCAAAATGTGCACAATCCAGCACATTGAGTCTGATCCTCTACGTTGTTGTACATCGTACTGCACTTGACAGCCTTGATCTAATTCCCGCCCCCTGCCGAAAACCCAGCTGGGAAGCGACATGGCGTGGGGGCGGATCAACGGTACTTTACGGTAGTTGTAAAATAAAATAAAGTCAATTTAATCGAAAAAGCGTAGGCCCAAACTTACGGCCAAAATTAAAAAAACAGCAAAATCCAGGTGAATAGCTAATAGACATCAACTAAATCTAATCTAAATGATTTGTTTCCATGCTAAGAACCTATCAGTGAACTGTTTGCCCAATTTTACCACTTAGTAGGTCCTCCCTTTGCCTTGACGACAGCCTCCATGCGCGCCGGGATGGTCTAGACGGGTTTCGCGTACTTGTCCCTGCTGATCTTCCGCCACGCTGTCTTGCACACTTCCCCAGGCTGTGTTTCTGTTGACGGGACTTAGGGAACATCATGGCAGAGACAATTCAGCATTTCCCACAAATCCTCAGTCGGATTTAGGTCCGGCGACTGCGTCGGCCGCCCCAGTGCGCGATATGGGCGGTCCGCCGATTACGCCTTTATCGCGTGTGCGCACGCAAATACACCATCCAGACCACGCAACAGATGGACCATGGGTGGCTGCATACTGTTCTACAGTATTCCTTGGTATTGGTCTGCTTTCATCGCCCGTTAACGTTGTAGACCCGCCCGACACCGTTGCCGGCGACGCGGTCCCGTATCATGATGCAGCCACCACTGTGCTTGACTGTGCCAACAGTACACTCTGGCACAAGTTGTACACCTGGTCAACGACTGAAATACACCACACCATCTGATGGTCTCATATTAAATTTAAACTCGTGGGACCACAGTACGTTGCTCCACTAGTCCACAGTACATCCTTGGTGGGCCCTGGCAAAGACCAGTCGTTTCTTCAATTTTCTGGTTGATATACGGGTTTTTTGTGGTCCTGCAGCCTCTCAGGCCAGCTTTCAGCAGTCTGGGACGTTCCGTACGGCTCGGGACATGTTTGCCACGGTTTTGCACCAGTCTGTCTTGAGCTCCCACGACAAAGTCCTTCTGCTAGCCAGAGTTATCACCTTGAGGTACCTGTCGTCACGAGCAGACGTCAGCCTTGGATGACCAGAACGAGGCTAATTCTTGCAGCTTTGCATCACTGCGAACCTGGTGACAGTTTCCTCACCGTGCGCGCACAAACGCGGGTCAAATTGGCGATATCATTCGAAGAGAGGCCATCATTATTCATCTTCACTGTCAACTCCCTCACGTCAGAGCCAAAGGTGCTTGGATCGACCCATGGTGAAGGAAAAATGTCAAAAACAGCAACTAAAATTTGTTGTTCGTGTCGTGAGGACCACCACGTGTTGTGCAGTTGAATTTCCCGCTGGTTTTGCATGACACATTTTTGTACCGTACGGTACCGTACAAATTCAAATATTTTGGCCAAAAATTTGGGCCTAGCTTTTTCATGATTTTCACCTGAAAATTTGTTTTGAAGCGCACGTGCGCTGTAGAAAACTTATCTCACGCGTTTTCATCGGGCTTGCAGCAGGTTTGAAGATACACAACCTGGCAGCACCACTGTATTGTGCCAAACCCCAAAAATTTATAGGTAGGCCCAAACTTCTGGCCAACACTGTATACAATGTTCGTGTGTCTCATGTGCATGAGAATGAGAATGAAAATGTCACATCAACAGTCGGCTGCACGCGCGCACGGGTACAGGAGGATTGTTGACGGTACGCACTCCTAGTACAATGACTATGTACATGTACATGTGTGGCACGCATCAAGATCAATGTTGATTTGTTGATTGTGTCCACGAGGAAGGTAGTGCTATAACTATAAGCGGATGTTTCTAAATAGCCACTCCGGATCCGGTTGAATCTCACACCGACAGGCCGCACAATTCATTCGCCCATATACCAACCCCAGTAATGATGCTATCTGGTGACAGAGACGGTTCGGCTGCATTGTAACCCTGCCCTGTCTTCGCTTTTGATTGATTTGATTTTGATTGATTGATTTTTATTTCACGGATCCTCCAGAAGCAAATAGATGCCTATCGAAGGGAGTCTCCTAATTAAGTATGGAAAATAAGAAAGTATTTTCGTAGGGGAGAAGAGGTAGAAGATACATGTAGAGGATATAACCCGAGTCAGAGGGTTATATCGGCTGAATATAAATCCCGACTGCGATAGCAGGAGAGATTTAT